GATTTTTAAAAATACAGTACATTTTGAATTGCATACAATCAATAAATCAGTAAATGGAATAAGGAAGCTTCTGTTTACAGTTTAGTTATGTTAAATATATTTTTATAGTATTTAAATATGATGGTTTCAGCACATCTCAAGGCAATACACACTCAACAAACTGCATCTTGTGATAAGTCTTTGTATAAAACATAAAATATATTCTCTTCCTCTTTAGGTTAAAAAGGACTATTATCGCTTATATACACAAACTTTAACAATGTACCTGAATCTAGAGCTTTTCCTTTTCTCAAGAGAATTAATTTGTCTTTTTTTAACACTTCCAACTTGGGTCAGACAGTGCAGAACAACAGGAGATGTACAATATTTACCTTGTTGTTATTGCAGCTGAAACATGTCAACAAGGGGCACACGTCTCCTGCTGTACTGTCTTAAAAAATAAGACACCTAAATTGTTAATGCGTGTGGAGAATCCAAACGTGCAGTATATTCAAGTAAATATCTGTCTGGACATCTGATATGTGGTTTAAATTAATATAAGCAAGAAAGACAAAAACATTACCGTAAATTCCGGACTATTGAGTGCACCTGAATATAAGCCACGTCAACTAAATTTGAACAAAATTAAAAATTTGTACATATTTAGACCGCACCTGAATATAAGCCGCAGGTGTCCACATCTTCAAGAACGTTTTCAAGTTCGGTCCGTCTGCTTTTATCGCCTCTGAAAGCTTTTTGTCGTCTTTTTGCGTTGAGTCAGTTCGTCACGCTGCAGTCGACAAAATCTCAAAATCGACTCACTGATGTCGAGCTCACGTGAAGCAGCTCTGTTTCCTTCTCCAACAGCCACATCAATCACCGTTAAAGTAAAAGCTGCATCATCTGCATTTCTTCGTGTGTTTTCCAGGAGGGTGTGTATATGAAGCGCAAAATAACTGTTCAAAACACAATCAAACGACGGATGTCCAGCTGCTGAAGTTTGAGACTTTTCTTCTTGTCATTTACGCATTCGGTTAAGATGTATCCCCCTCAATAATGTTAATTTAGTATCATAACTTATTTTATCCCACGGCGGATATAACTATTTGAGTGCACTGACAATATCGCGAGCCGGTGTAGCAACTTCATGTTAACCCTAGATCCATGTGTAACCGCACAGACAGCGACGTTTTCTGAACTCTGTTGCCAAACGATAGACCGTATATATGAATGGACAATGTGCCAAACAAATAATCCGTCCATATATTCGCCAAATCGTTTTATTAGTCGCTGGGTTCAAAGTGTGAGAGAAAAAAGTAGCGTCTTATAGTCCGGAATTTACGGTAAATAACGCACAGATGCTGGTATTTTTTAAATGAAAAACCAGACAAACTAGAAAAAATTTGCAGAAAAGTTAACTGTTCATATCACTAAACATTGTCAGTAAAAGGTTTTGACAAAGTGGGAAGAGTAACGAAAACTTTTCCTCAAAAAAAAAACAGTTTTGGTCGGTGTGTGCTCATGGGTCAAATTAACAGATTATTGGGGCCGTATAACTATAATAATAAATTTAATTAAATTAATTAAATAAATGCGCTTTATTCTAGCATCTCACAAAACGCACATTACTGACTACAGACTTTTAACAGGAACCAAAAGAAGAGAGCACATTACACCAATCCTTGCGTCTTTGGACTGGCTTCCTGTTAATTTTAGAATTGATTTAAAGATTTTATGGTTTGTTTTTAAAGCTTTGAATGGACTGGCCCCACAATACATCTCAAACCTCATCCAGATTTACACCCCCACGCGTGCTCTGAGGTCTGAGGTCCAGCTCCAGCTCGTGGTGCGTAAAACGAGACTTAAAACCAGGAGGGACTGGACCTTCTCTGTGGTCGGCCCCAAACTCTGAAACACTCCGAACAGTCCCCACAGTGGAAAGTTTTAAGTCTCGTCTTAAAACCCACTTTTACGCTCTGGCTTTTAACAGTGTCTGTGTCTTTTATTTTATTGATTTTTAATGTATTTTATTGGCTTTATTTATTAATTTATTGCTATTCTGTGATTTTGCTCTTATTTTATTTTACTGGTTTTATTATTTTAAAACTAGTATGATTAAATCTGAGCATTTATTTTTATCATTTTATTATTGTTGTAGCACTTTGGAAACTGTTTGTGAAATGTGCTATAGAAATAAAGTGGACTGGATAAATTCAGTTGTTGATTGGTTAGATGGTTGGTACCTCTTTAGTGGTGGTATATTTCACAGTTCTTGATGCACGACGGTTTGGAGGTACATGTTTCACAGTTCTCGTGGGATGATGGTGAACGGGCGGATGGGGCTGGAGGCTTCGAGCTCCAGGGCCGTGAGGAAACAGTCCGGAGCCTGGCTGCAGTCTCGGGCCTGCAGAGCCTCCCCCAGACCCCCCCACGCCTCATGGGACGTACTGTGCACCTGCACCGCATCACGCAGGACCTTCTCTCCCAGAAGCACACTCCCACTCTTCACCAACAGACGGCC